CCCAACCCCAACCCCAAACCCAACCCCAAACCCGAGCCCCAACCGTACTTGGAATGTAATTATTTTTTATAATTACATCAATACTTTACCAAACCCAAACCCGAAAACATATTATGATGAGGGCAGTTAAATTTATTAAGGTATTATTTTCAATCTAACAAATAAAGATTAAGTAGACGAAGGGAATTGGATTAATATTGGAATTAGTTAAGGTATATCCATTTCTTATTAATTTTTTTAAACCAAAAATATAAATAGTTTCGAGGATATGAAAAAATCTTCTTCTTTTAAAAATTTGAAAGATCAAAGAAATCATTTAATTCCTAATTTCTATTAGAGATTGTGATCTAATATACAAAATATGATAATGATCCTTTATTTTGGGATATCAAAATAGGAATTTTGTATTGAGTTTATATTATTTTTAGAAACCACTCCAGCTTTAATAAATAATATATTATAATATTGAAAATAATTATGATGAAAACATAGGTGTAATATTAATAATAAAATTTCAATTCTATAATTTAATGTTAAATAATAAAAATATGAGAATTCTATTAAATTAGTTATCTTAATATTTTAACAAATTAAACTAATTAGATAATTAGATGATTGGTGTATTTGAATTAATGGCAAAATCCTTTATGTAATCCTAGTTTTTCCTTCATTAATTAATTAAAAATGAGCTATAATCTTGGTAAATTTGATAAATGATTTCGTAAATTTATCTTGCTTCTTTATAATTGCGAATATTAATGATCCTTATTAAATTTTTATATAAAATATAAGCAAATTGTTGGACATAGAATGTAAATTACATCTAAATTTAATCAAATAATTCTTTATTTCTAAAAAATATTTTTGTATATAAATACACTATTAAAATTTAATTAAACAAGTATAATAATAATAATAAGGAATTAGAATATGAGTAATGAAAAATGTTAAGAACATTAAGAAGAAATTGTGGCAATCAACATAAATGAGTAAACTAATTAAAAAAGAGGATTATGCACCAAATGTTTGATTAATAAATATAACAATGAACTTATACATGTTCAAGATTCTATTGAAAAGATTAATTAAGCAAAGTAATAAGTTAAAGAAGAGAGATCCATTTAATTATAAATTAATTTACAGAATATCAATAAATTAAGTGAAACTGTTTAAGAATTGAAAAATTTCTACATTCAATAAATTGATAAGATTAATTCTACTATTAAAAAGTGGTCATAATCAATTTAAAATGGGGAATCAAACTTTATTAATAAAGTAAAATCAAAATAATCAAATGATTATTAGGTTTTTATCAAATTTATTAAGGAAGAAGAAAATAACATGAAACTCTATTAATCTACATTTTAAATGGATATTTACAAATAAATTCAATCATTAATAGAAACAGATTTAATTAAAAAGTGTTTCAATTTCCTAGATAAAACACAAATAATAATTAAAATTATTGAATAGTAAGATCAAAAATAATAAGAATTCAAATCATAATAATTAAATCCATTCACTTATAATTTAATACAAAAGAATTCAATTAAATAAACTGAATGGTGTGGTGCAATAGCATTCAATAAAGATAATTCAATTGTTTTAGTTGGTTGTGAAAGTAAGATTAAAGTATTTGAATTCAAATAAGAATAGTTGAAATAAACTCAACTTCTAAAAGAACATTCAAAAAATGTTAATACTTTAAATTTTATGAAGAAATCCAGTTAATTTATTTCAGGAAGTGAAGATTCAAGTATTATAATATGGTCTATGAATGAAAATAATTAATGGATTTGCAAATAAAAAATAAATGGACATTCAAGTTATATTTATTGTTTAATATTGAACAATAATGAAGATATTATCATATCTGGTAGTGCAGATAAGAAAATTAAATTTTGGATGGAGTAAAATGAATGGAAATGTTCATAAACAATCACAGATCATACTAGTAATGTATATGGATTAAGTATGAATGATTAATAGAATAAAGTGATTTCTTGTAGTGGTGATAAATTAATATTAATAATAGAACAGTCATCAAAAGATTAAAAATGGAATGTTGTATAAAACATAAAAGTTGAATAGTTTGGTAACAGAATATGCTTTATGAATGATGATGTATTCACCTTTTAACCTGTTGGTAAAGAGTATATGCATATTTATGAGATAAATAATACTAATAAATAGTATTCAAAGACAAAAGACATAGTACTTAAATCTAGATATTAAGATTATAATTGTTTATTTCCTTAATAATATATAAAGTAGAAATGTCTACTTGTAAATAAAAATGCAGACAATATTAATTTGATAAGGACCAACCAAAATGGACATTTTATAACTGAATAGTCAATTGATTTTGGAACATATAATTTATTTGGATCAATGAGTGATAATGGAGACTATTTGATTACATGGGATGAGAAATCTTAAGAAATTTAAATAAGAAAATATTAAGAAAAGTGATAAATTATAAATTATTATCATTAAATTATTAATATATTATCATATTCTTAAATTCACTTATTTTTTAATCATTTCATTTGAAAATCAAATTAAAAATCAATTTATTTCATTTTTATAAATTAAAAAGTTAAAGAAAATGGGAAAATTGAAGGAAAAAACACTTAAAAGAAAATAAAAGTGAACTTTTAAAATTGAAAAAGTGGAAAAACCAAGAAAATCGACTAAAAAAAATACAAAGATAAAATTCTAAGTGAACTTTTTAATTAAAAAAATGGAATAATCAACAAATTAGATATAAAAAAACACAAATGTTAAATTCAAATATTAACTTTTAAGTTGAAAAAAATGAAAAAATTGATAAAATTGACTTAAAAAAACACAAAGATAAAAATTAATAAGAATTTAAGCTGAAAAAGTCAACAAATTTGACTTAAAAAAAACTCAATATAATATCAATGCAAATTTTTAAATGAAAAAACTGAAAAATCAATATAATCGATTTAATAAAAACACTGAAGTGTACAAAAATGAAATTAGTTTCAAATTTTAAACAAATAAAGACTTTTAAGATGAAAAAGAATGATTATTATAAATGCTCACTTTTTAATAATCAATAAAATATAAAGTCAAATATTAAATAATTCAAAGTTTTTAAGAAAAGATATAAAAAAACAAAACGAATTGTATGATATTTCATATTTTTTTGATTCAAGCTCTTTAGAAATAAGATTATTTAAGAAAGTCAATCATTCTTACTAAAATCTATAGAGAAATTCATGTTGATTCTATTAAGTTAATTGAACAATTAATGCTGTCTAGCTAACCTATATTTTATGACATAATGAGAAAGAAGTAAACCCTTTGAAATTTCCAAAAATTAAAAACATGATTATGCAGTTAAAATCAATTCTAGGTTCAACTTTTAATCCCATTATTCATCTATCTAAACCTAACTATTTTAGCAACACAATT